AAAAAAAAAAAAAAAAAAAAAAAAAAAAGGAAAGAAAAAACCCTACCAGTCATGTAAATAGAGAGATTTTAAAGGGAAAGGGGGGCGAGGGGGAATCGCAGCTGTTTTTTTATTATTATTATAATTATTATTGTTATTATTATTATTTTAAAGACATAGGACCACATTTTAAACCCATCCCCACAGAACCCGAGCACTTCCCTGCTGAAGGGGAGGGCAGAAATTTCCTGTAAGGATGATTTTATCAAAAGGAGAAAAGAGGCGGGGGGGTTGTACAAAAAAGAAAAGCAAGAATGGCAGCATCCCTGAAGACGGTCGTTTCTCTGTGCTGTATTTTTTTTGTCTTCTTCAGACCTTGTCACTGATGTTTGAACTAATTTGCCAAGCTCTCTAGGGTTTGTTGGTTTGGTTTTTTTTTTAAGTGTATAACAATTAATTAAGGAGGAAATTTTAAAGAAAAGTACAAATCTATGAAAGAGTGGAATTGTTTTGTTGTGTGGGAATACATATAGTCATGTAGAGATGTTAAAGGAAATTTTCTGTGTACAGTTTATTTATTTTTAACGTTTGTGTATAGGAAAAAAAAAAGCTAGAGATTATGCCAGAAACTATTGGAAATGTTTACTTGAATATTCCTTTAAAAACATATCAATGTAAATATGAGCTATCACTGATCAAAACATTTTTAGCAATAAACTCTATCTTTGAAGAAAAACCCCGTGCTACACCCCAGCTCCCTGGGAGACCAGCGGAGACCCGGATTCTTGCTCGGAGCAGGTGATGAGTAAAGGGCTTTGGCTGGGCCACACTGACGTAAATCGCGAGACACCCCGAAGGTCGGGACAGCTCCACCGGTTTCTGCCTCTCCGGGATCCCGCTCTGGGTTTTCTTTGCGTGTATAACCTGTTGGGGAGGAAAAAAAAACAAAAAAACAAAAAAACAAAACAAAAAAAAAAAAAACCAACACAAACAAACACAGACGGGAGAGAAATATCTCGTAACGCGTAAAAGAGCCGCGATGTCCCGGCCTGGAGGTGTCATCTGAAGTCCTTGGGAGATTCCATGCTCTGTGGCTCTTGGATTCGGCTCTCCCGCTGGCAGAGGAAGCGGTCGAGGTTACTGCCCCGGCCATCAAAGCGCCTGACACATCTTGGCAGCCCCGCGTGTGTCAGAACAAATGTTTTTTCTCGGCTGCCGCCACTAGCGCAGGAGGGAAGGATGGAGACGAGCCCTGCGCCCGGCCCTGCTGCCGCGACGGAGCCCCGGGGCTGGCACCTCTCCCCGCGGCGCCTCCGGGGGTGTGCGGGGTCAGGAGGAAGCGCTGACCCTGCCATGGCACACAGTGCCCTCAGCTCGTGTGCCGGGGCCGGCGGGACCCCCGCGCTCCCACCGGAGCTCGTGGGACCAGGGCAAGGCAGAGCCGAGCTGGCTCGGCACGGGCAGGCTGCCGGCACCGGCTGGGGAGGAGCCCGGCGCTGGTGAGCGGGGCACTGGCAGTGCGAGCCCGCTCCCGACCGAGATCTGTCTGTCTATCTGTCTGTTTCTCTGTCTGTCTGTCTGTCACAGGGCTTGGAGCGCGGCCCTGACGGGTTGCCAGGCCGATCCCCAGCGTGTTCCGCGTGGGCTGGTGGTGCTGGAGGGGAAGGTCTGGCCGTTCCCTCCGGTGTCTGAAACGCGCCCGGCATCCCCGAGGAACAAACTGCTGCCGAAGGCTTGTGCCAGCGAGGAGCACGCTCTGCCAAGCCTGCTGTGGTATGGTGGGGAGACCCTGTCCCCTTCCAGCTTGGCATGCAGGAGAGGAAAGCAGCACCGAGCCCATGGGAAGGCACCAGGGCCCTCCAAGGGGTCTGGCTCACATCCCTCCATCATCCTCTGAGGGGACTGAGGTCCAGAGAGCCCCATGGAGCAAACCTACAGAGCTGGAGGTCACCCAGAGATTAAAGGCAAAGGAGGGAGAGAGCTTTGAGAAGGGCATGGTGGGGACAAGGTGTGAGAGGGATAGTGACATCCAGTAGCCCACGTCCCAGCAGAGCCCTGTGGCCACTCGCTCAGCCCCGCATGAGGATGCAGGTTGGCCTCTCCATCCGTTCAGTGGCGAGGGACTGGGGAAGGGGGGGATGCAGAGGTCAGAGTGAAAAGAAGACCTCGGCAAAGGCAATGTGCAAAACATCAGGGGCATTTGGGAGAGGAAGGGGAAAGCTCATTTTGCAAGAGGAACAACATCTGTGGTGTGGGGGCCGAACATCTGTAGGAGGGAGCATGGGGGGAGGGCATTCTGGGAAAATATTTCTGACATAATCCCAACAGTATCTGGTGTGTTGGGATTTGGTTACAAATGGCCCTCTAACGTCTTTGTGCGTTTTGTTCTGCTGGTTCCAGGGGCACACAGAGACCCCTTGCTTTGTGCTAACCTGGGAAATAAACCATTCGCTGGGCTCAATGGCTGAGTTCAGTTGCGCGGGGAAGGTGGGGGTTGGGAACGGGGAAGGCGAGATTTGTGTGAACTCCAGTGAAAACCAGCCTAAAAGCCTCCGTGCCATGTGCTGGAGGGAGGAGGGGGGGGCTGCCGCCGCCTCTGGGGAGAACTCAGTGGTCCCGCTTGAGATGACAGCTCGTCTGGAGGAGAAAGCACGAGAGCTGAGGTGCTGGGAGCAGGCTGGGCCGGGGAGAAGAGGGCAGCCACCACGGGGTGTGTGCCAGCTCGCCTGGCCCTGCCTCGCCGCGGTCACCTCGTGCCGATGCGCGGTCACCTCGTGCCGGGAGCCTCCCGCACGGCTGCCCCGGGAGGCGATGAGTCGGACGTGTGACGGCTGGGCCGTGGGCGTGATGGCTCGCCTGTCTGCCGAGCCTCAAAGGAGAGGAAGACAAAGGGGAACAAGCCTAGTTCTTTGGTGCGGTTATTGCATTGTCTCCCCAAAGCTGCTTGTGATTAAGGGACGAGCTGCGGGGGGAAGGGGGCAGGACAGGCAGAACCAGCAGAACCCCGAGAGGTGGTGGGTGCCAACTTCTGAAAACATGGGTCTTCCCTTGAGCTCTGGGGCGGAGGCCTGGGAAAAGGGCTGGAGCACCAAGGGTGGGTGCCATCCTCTAACTTGGGTCCCGCTTGTCATTACGCTGTCAGGAGACATGCACGACCATGACCGTGCCCTGACAGGGTGTGCACACCCCTCCTGGGCACCTCTGGCCCTCTGCTCACCGCTGTTTGTGGGGGGACCCTGTCCATGCCCTGTGAAGCCACAGTGAGCCCCACGCTTTGAAGTCTCCCTTCTCCACACCGAGACTCTGGGCTTAAGTAGAAGGTGGGAACTGGAGCATCAGCTCTTTAACCCCTTCTTCCTTCAGGCAGGGCAGAGCACAGATAGACCTGATGGCTGTCCCATGTCCTGCAGGCACATGTCCACTGGCATGATGGGAAAACAAAGGCAGTTTTCCTCTCTACAGCCAGTGCTGGCCAGAGCTCACCTGCTCCAACACCACATGCTGTGCTGCAGCGGTTCCCTTGGCTGGATCACAGCTGGATCTCTTCCTTGTAGTCCCTACAAAGGCGAGCTGGAGCAAAGAACCCCTCTCTCAGGTCTGCAGAGGTCTCCTCCTCTTCCTTCTGCATGTCAAGGCCCTTCTATCACTTGGTGAACTGCTTTCTCATGCACGAACCCCAGATTTAGATGACCCTGTTTGTCTTGGGAGAGAGAATGAGCTCAGGATGGCTCCTGGCAGTTGACTCAGTGGGATGGATGCACTTTTTCACTCCTCTTTCACATCCCAGTTTGGTTTTGACACCAGCAGCAGGTTAACTTTTTTGTCCCCATTGGCAAAGGGTATTTCATCCCCATTTTCCCATCCTGCCTCTCCCCATTTAGCTCAGCTAAGGTTGGTCCCCAGGAATGCAGTTTCTCTCGGTGCCAGGGTGACCCAGATTTACGGGGTCAGAGCTTGCAGATGTCCAATGCCAGCTCTTGAGACATCTGACTCGGGCCTGTGTGATGACCTAAGCCCATCACTCATCGTTCCTAGAAAGGCAAATGAATAGGCAGGAGGCAGTAATTGGTCTCCTCAAAATTTAAAGCCCAGGCTAAACTGGGACTTTTCTCAACATGTAAAATTGTTCTCTTCTGCCCCTCCGGCCCAAGTATTTGCTGTCACTCTGCCTTTGCAGCCTCTCACAGCCACCAGGAGCTACCAGGGAAAGCCATTCTCTTTTCACACCCTGCTTGGTCCAACCAGCAGGTCCCTGGTGAGCCCATCCTGCTGACAACTGAGCTGGACCCGCTTCCTCAGGCACCCCAAGCTCCTCTCTCATCACCACAGCGCAAACCCTGCCACACCACTGAGGTTATTAGTGCTGACACAGGCCAGGGTGCACCCTGCTCAGTGATCTCAGAAGCCTTTTCCAACCTAAATGATCTGTGATGACCATAGACAAGCCCCATGGGGTGGACAGAGGTGGGCTCTTGTCTCACTGTCTCCTTGGGGCTGCCAGATATAACGGTGGAGGTTCTGCTTCCTCCGTGCAAGATGCACCTCAGACTGCCTTTCCACTCCTTTGCAGTTCTCCTTAGCTGTCTCCATGTGTAGCAAACCCAACCACGCACCCAGTTGCTGCTCAGCAGAGCAGGATCCTAACCCCTCCCCATGAGGGAACACAGGGAGCACCAGGCTTTACCCACTGTCACTCCGGAGGTGTCAGACAGGCTGCTGGTTCATGCACAAACCGTGCATGAGCCTCCCTTCCCCGTCGGTGATTAAAACCAAACGTGAGCAGCAGCACCATCCCGGGGACGTGGCTGCTCTTCGCCCTTAGCTGTTTGGTATTCTGCCTGAAAATGTCAGACACCCCATCAAGGAGAAGGGAGCACGTCATGTGGTGCCGGGAGCCCAATGAGAGAGGCAGAGGCACGAGGAGCAGATCCCGGGGAGCTGGGAGGCAGCGCCTGTGAGCCGGCCATTAGCTAAAATGGCCCTTTCAGGCGGCCTGTGAATGAACCCATTCACAAAAAAGCAGGGCCTGTTTGCAAACAGCAGAACTGTCTACATGGTGGGGGTTTTTTTCACTGGATGAGTCTGACCCAAACCCCGAAGCAGATGTGTGGGACGTGGCTGTTGCAGCTGTGTCCAAGCGTGGAATAGGTGCAGTGGATTTCAGAGCACTGATTCCACCTTTCTTTTTGTAGGCCCCACCATTCCTCCCAGGAAATTTCAGTGCCCTGCCCAAAGAACCTTGACATCCTGCCAGGCTCTCTGGAGTGTGGCACAGACCACTGAGGGACCACAGACTGCTGGGGTATGATAGGGGAACCTGCTCTCCACCATCACACAGATGTCGTAAAAAGGGACAGGAGCCCTCACAGAAGCCCATGGTCCAAGAGATATGACAGAGCACATGATGGGAAAAGCTCCTCCTTGGATCTGGAAAGTGGGAGTGAAGGGTATCCAGATATGGGACATGGTTGCTCATAGAGGACCTGACTAGGACATCCATGTCCTGTGCCTCGTCACCTGGGAACGTGGTCCGTGGAAACCAGTTATCTCCTTATGCTGGAGGAGAGCAAGGTGCCCAGCCAAGCTCACTGTCCCCCACTTTAGGTAAGATCTGGACCTTTCCCCAGGGGAAAGTGTGTGCCACTACAAGAGGTTGAGGCTTTGGAGCTGCCAGAGCTACCTGGTGTCCACAGCAAGGACCCTGGAAACTCCCAGGATAGCAATTCTGCTGAGCAGCAGCATTCCCAGTGCTCCTTGTAGCTCCTCTGTCTTGGTGTTGGCTGCTTTGGAGGCAACCTTTGGGGAGGTAGCAGGAGGCAGAGTGGAGAGCAGGAATGCTGGAAAGGGAAGTAAAGGCTGCATCTCAGGTGCCAGGGCAGGACAGCCTTTGAAGAGCTCTGAGTTTGGGGTGGGAAATGAGAGCAAGGGTGCTGGAGAAAAAAAGTTCCTTGTCCTGGATGCTGGATCATGTACAGGTGTTTGTCCATAAGCTTCTTGGAGGGTTGTGCAAGAGCCATCAGATCCCCTCTGAGGCTGGCTGTGTCCTCAAGCATTGTCTGGTCTGCTTCCATCCCGTTTGCTGCCAAAAGACACTTTCTCTCCAGGACGTGGTACTAACAAAGGACTGGGCCTCCAGCCTTGGCTCAGTTTATCTACTTTATTGGGACAGAGACCATATTTCATTCTGGAGCTGAGATTAAGAACTGAGCTGCACTTGGTGTTCTGCTCTCTGACCGTATTTTAGGAAAGAGCCTACAATTGTCTCCTCCTTTCCCACACGGAACTGCAGCCAGCAATTCTCTTGGACACCTCTTTGAGCCAGCAAAGTGTGTGGGTCAATGCACAGCTGTGATGCTGGATAGAGAAGGACACTAAAAAAGGACATGGTGAATGTGTGAGTGATGTTGGGTACCCAACTGAGACCAGTGCTGAGTTGTACCTGGAGCTTCCCTCTGCCCAGGCTGCTGGACCGGGCTGGGATGTGGCTCCTCAACAAGGGGAAGTGTTGGATTCTGCCCCTGGGATGGGGCAACCCTGGATATATGGACAGAGTGGGGAATGAGACGCTGGAAAGCAGTTCTGGGAAAGGGCCCTGGGTGTCCTGGTCAGTGGCCAGTTGTCCCTGAGTCAGCAGTGCCCTGGCAGCCTGGAGGGCCAACCCTGTCCTGGGGGCATCAGGGAGGGGATTGTCCTGCCCTGCTCTGCCCTGGGGCAGCCTCACCTCAGCATTGGTTGGGTCCTTGCTGTGGACACCAGGTAGCTCTGGCAGCAATATAGG